GCGCTAAGGGGGGGGGGGGGGGGGGGGCTTTTAGAATGCATTTAAAGTTAGTTGCTTTTTTCCTCTGCTCTGCCCCCCCCCCACCTCAAGCCTACCCAGGGAGAGGAACACTGACTGGGGAAGGGAAGACCAATTGGGGAGGCATGCCTCCCCTTCGCTTCTCCAGGCACCCTGCCAGGAGCCACACAATATATGTGAAAGAGCCGCATGTGGATCCCGAGCCGCAGTTTGACCACCCGTCTTATGATAATGCAGTAAATGCACAGCTTCTTTGTATCATCTCTAGGACTCCAAATTCAACTCACCTAGATCCATCTCCAGCATCTTAATGCTTTATCTAAAATAAGTAAACAGTAGATTTCCCATCCAGGCAGTATTTGAACCACTAAATTATTTCAATATAATGAAGAAGAAAAGTTGGTTTTTATACCCCGCTTTTCTCTACTTGAAGGAGTCCCAAAGTGGTTTAAAATATCCTTCCCTTCCTCTTCCCACAACAGGCCCCTTGTAAGGTAAGTGAGGCTGAGAGAGTTCTGAGAGAACTATGACTAGCCCAAGGTCACCAAGATGGCTTCATGTGGGGGAGTGGGGAATCAAACTTGGTTCTCCAGATTACAGTCTGCCTTATACGCTGAGTTAGTGTGAGCTAGCTCACAATTTTTTAGCCTCCGGCCCACACATTTTTGTCTCCGCTCTGGAAGGATGGCTCCAGAGCAAACTAATTTATGCAGCAGCCAAATCACTCACTTACAACTTTAATGCCAGTAGCTCACAAAGTAGAATTATTGCTCACAAGACTCCACAGCTTCGAGGGAGCATTGCTTGTGGCATAAGCTTGTGCGACCCTCAAGCCCAGTATCAGATAAAGAAGTGATGCATTCAGTTACATACCCATAAAGCTACAAACAGAAGTACAGATACATCTACTAACTGAATACGTTGCTTCACTTTAAATGTAAGGTATTTATACCCTGACTATCTATAAAAGTATAACTGAGGCAGCTTCCAGTATAAAACTATTCAAATATTTTAATAAAACTGATAAAAATATTCAAAAGCTACAACTATACAATAAAGCCAGAAAAAACATCAGATTGAAAATGATAAAATCATAAATATCCTAAAAATTGTATTAAAAACAGCAAGCAGATAAAGATTTTCTGTACTGCACACAAATACTCTCCCTGTTGAGGGTCACCTGGCACCCACTCTACTGGGACCAGGCAAAAACATTTTTTCATTATGCTGGTTTTTAACTAAGGGGTTACATCCATTTAGTTATTGTTTTCAGTAGCCCTGAGACTAGAAACAGGCCACTTTAGGAATAGTAGTTTATGGGCTCTTTGCTTAATCTATTGCTGGTTTTAATAGTGATAATTCTAATTCTTTGTTTTTATGATGTTATTGTTGGTGAGGGTTTTTTCACTTTGTGAGCCATCCGGGGCAAGTCTCTGGAGGTGGCATATAAGCTTTCTGACTAAATGAACTAAATAAATAAGCTTTCTAACTAAAGAAACCCAGAACTATAAAAACAAAGTACAGTTTCTACCTAATTCAAAGCTTGCAAAAATCCTCTAGGTTATACCTTCCTGCAGAGCAGGCCAGACATTCCATGGTTCAACTCAAAGCTGACAAAAGCCACCTTTTTGCTTGCCTTTATTTTAGAGGTTCGATGGGCAGGAAAGGGGTTTCTTTTTAAAGAACAAATCGGAAAGTGGAAGGGCTTGTGCAAATGCTACCTCCAAAACAGTCCAGACAAATTGTTTCCACAAAATCATGGGTATTTTGCATTCAACATAAACCCAGAAATCTTGAGAACAAGAAGCGGGCTACTTAAGCAGAAGGTGGGCTGCACAGATTTCCTGGACTATCCTACATGGGTATGAACTGTATCTACAATGGATCAACAAGCGTAGATGGATTTTTTACTATCCTTTGCTCATCTACTCCCTGTGGCACTTGACAGGTAATGGACAGTGTCTAGATATCAAAATCTTTGAGACTTATGTGATCTGCCCCAGCTTATAAAATGAAGTTTTTGTCTGCTAAGACTTTCAAAATGAAGAATAAAATGGTTGTCTTTTCACTATAAAGCAAATCAATGTCAATTTGTATTAAAAAATAAAATGCTTAAATGGTTTTAAAGATAATGGATAAGATTACAGAGATGATTTTTCTTGGAGTTGCTAAATATATCCTAAACTTTCAAACAAAAGTGTTTTGAACATTATAGTAATGTGTACACATGTTGATTGGGGGAGGAGAGGCAAAAGTGGAGAAATTTTCAGAGGAGGAAGAGATTGGATTTATACCCCGCCCTTCACTACCCAAAGGAGTCTCAGAGCAGCTTACAAACTCCTTTCCCTTCCCCTCCCCACAACACCCTGTGAGGTAGGTGGGGCTGAGAGAACTCTTAGAGAAACTGCTCTTTTTCAAGAACAGCTGTGCCAGAACTATGGCTTGCCCAAGGTCATCCAGCAGCTGCAAGTGGAGGAGTGGGGAATCAAACCTGGTTCTCCCAAATTAGAGTCCGCGCACTGTCACACTGAAATTTGCTGCATGACTTCATCTCTACTAGGTGAATCCACATATTTGCATGTTGGAAATAAAGGGCACAGAAATTACTAAAATTTTGGAAATGTCCTATAAACGTATGTGTCACGGCTCAGGTGGGGTGTCACCTTATGCTGCCACCACTCTGGATTTAGGATCCCTTGAGAAGGCCCAGAGCACCCTCCCAAGACCTTCAAGACCTCCCTTTTGGATGAATAATAGGCGTGAGGACCAGGCAGAGTACAACAAGGAAACGGTTTATTTTATAGGAGGTCAAACAAACAAGGTACAGGAATAACAACAGTAAGTGAGTGAAAAGAAATCAAATGCCCTAACGCGTTTAAATATATTGTCCCTAGCTCACTATCTCAAGTGGCCTTAGACTACTCACCCTTCCATCAGGATGAGGGTTTCTTCTCCACAGCAGCCTCTCTTCTGGCTCTGTTCCCTGTGAAGAACAGCTTTTCCTCTCACACCAGTTCTTTTATTCCCCAGCCCTCTTCTTCCCTTTTGGTCAAAATCGGCACCAAAACTTCCCAAGGCCTTCTGGGGTTTGTAGGCCCAGCCTCCCCTACTGCTAGCCAGGCTCCCTGGGTCTAGTAGACCTCTGGTGGCACAGTATACCTAGCAAATACTGGTATCTTTCTGCTAATTTTGGCATACTGCTTGTGCTCATTTTTTATAGATATTTTGAGCCTTAATGTG